GTGATAAAAATAATCCACGCGAGCTTTTATGCAGAAGAATCTAAAAATTATGTTTGCAAATTGTGGAGGGTTAATTGAAGGCTATAAATAGGTTAGCCTTGCTCAGTCGAGTGTGTGACATAAAAAATAAAACCAGAAAGAAGCATTCCATGTACAAGTCCTTGTAATACAAAATCCATTAAATTTTCCATGTACAAGCCCTTGTAATACAGTTATGACCAATGTTACCTCACACTCACTAGTCATTCCTACTTTCAATGGCTATAGCTATGGCCATCGGAGCATTACAATGATTATTTTTTTTATGGCTCAGGATTTATGGGACATCGTGAAGAAAGTATATGCGGCTTCGAAAGAAAGTGCAACCATTCCGGCATAATAATTACAGAAAAGGATGCAAAGGGTCTACGTGTCGTCCAACAAGCATTCTTGGAAATGATATTTGCAGGAGTCATTGGATCGAAGACCCAAAAAAGGGCATGAGATGTACTACAATAAAAGTTTCAAAGCCAACAAAAGTGCACACCATTAGACTTCAATAACTTAGAAGGAAATTAGAGTATACTAAAATGAAATATTATGAGATCGTTCAACAATATTGTGGTACATTAGAAGAACATGCAAATGAGGGCTTGTGGAGATGATATCACTTAATAAAGGGTAGTAGAAAAAAATATTTACTAAAAAATACAATTCTATTGTCACCTTTATAGAAGAATCTAAGCATTTAACAATCTTATGGATGGGTGAATGGTACAAGATGAAGAATCGGTTAAAAGTGCCTTTCAATTTAAAATAAAAATAAAAAAGGGTCCCATAAATAAAAAAATGGTGAAAGGAGTTCATGGAAAAATAAAAGAGGAGGAGAAACCTCTTCGAGAGAAAAATGTCTACCTTGTAGTATTTGCAAGAAAACAAATCACATGAAAAAGATTGATGGTTTTAAGATAAACAAAAATGTCGATCTTGTATAAAATATGTCCGCATAGAAAAAGATCGTCTTTCAAAAAAAAAATTACCGAGCTATTAGGTTGAAGAAAAGGAAATATAGACAATACGTTTTACATAGACCAAGCATCAAGTGGCATGTTGATAGTGGGTGCAGTAACCACATGATAGGGGATAAATCATTCACCGATATTTATACATTGGTAAAAATCCAAGTGAGATTCGGTAATGAAGCATTAGTCAATGTGTGGGAACAAGACACTATAGCCATTGAAACAAAGAAAGGCCCCAAGCATATTCGCGACTTATATTCAGTCCCTAGTCTAGCACAAAATTTACTTAGTGTGGGCCAAACGATAAAAAATGGATATTCTCTGTAAATTAAAGGAGATACCTGCACTATCTATGACAAATATAAAAATCAAGTTATTGACTCTGTTAAAATGGAGAACAGAAACTTTCCTCTACAATGAAAATATGCCAGAGATAGAGTTATGCAAGCTCCAGTTGATGATTCATGGTTATGGCATCAAAGATTCGGCCACTACAACTTTGTTGAGCTAAAAACTATCGATAGAAAAATATGATAAGAGACTTTTCATACCTTTCATAAATTTCAGACGTTTGTGGAGTCTGTCTTTTGGGAAAAGAACAAAGGTAGTCCTTCCATTTGGAGATACATGTAGATCTTAAAAAACCTTTGGAACTACTTCAAATCGATGCATGCTGCCCATTGAGGACCTCCACATCCAACCGAAGTAAATATTTCGGACTCTTGATCGATGACAACACAAGAAGGACGTGGGTCTACTTTCTTTGACAACGAATCGGAGGGTTTTTTCTATTTTCAATAAGTATGAGAACCACATTGAAAAGAAAAGTTGGCGCAGCATCAAGGTCCTAAGAAGCGACAGAGGCATCGAATACAATTTTAATGAGTTCAACAAATTATGTGAAGATGAAGGCGTTCATCATCAACTAAAAATTGGCCATGCCCTAGAGCAAAATGGAGTTGTAGCAGGAAAGAATGGAACCGTCGTGAAGATGGCATGGTCCATACTCAAGGAAAAAGGATTTCCTAACACATTATGGGCAGAAGCAATATATATATAGAAGTATACTTACTAAATAGGTGTGGACGGAAGCCTTCAGCGAAGTATTCCAAAGTGTTCGGTTGGATATTCTACGTCGATGTCCCTACTAAAAAAAAGGAGCAAGCTCGACGAGAAGATAGAAAAGGGAATATTTATCGGCTACAACGACCAATCGAAAGGCTCGTGGTGAAGGATATTTGCAACAACTAGATATTGATTGCACTGAGACTTTCGCCTGCCTCGATACTATTCGTGCCTCCATAGCCTCAGCAGCACAAAAAAAGGTGGAAAATCTATTAGCTCAATGTAAAATCAACATTTCTAAATGGATACCTTCAAGAAGAAATTTACGTGGAAGAATCACCGGGCTTTGTGGCCAAAGGCAAAGAGAAAAAGGTCCCAAGACTCAAGAAGGCCTTATATGGGTTAAAACAAGCATTGTAAGCGTGTTATAGCAAAATTAACAAATATTGGGAGGAGCATGAGCGAGCCAACGCTCTACATCAAGACTCAGGGTAGGCTTGACACTCTTATCGTCTCTCTTTATGTATGGTGAGCAAAAGCAATCATTTGAATCGGACCAAATCGGTCAGTTCGGGACCATTAGGGGCACTGATTCAGTTCCCGATTTCATGTGTGGAATCGCCCATCCATCCGATCTATATGGATTGGATTGAATTATTGTACGAAAAAAAATATTTTTTCAGCCCACACGCCACTTTTCTCGATCTCCATAAAATCACCAAAAAACAAAAACTAAAAGACAAAAATTAAATAATAAAAAAATTAAAGATGAAAAAGAACCATAAGGAAAAGCATTTATCTCTTTCTCTCCCCCTCTCTATCTATTCCTTTTCCTTAAGTCACGCTCACTGGTCACTTCTATCCTTTTCTCGCTCTCATCTCTCTTATTATTGTTCATTATTTAATTTCCATTAAATACCTGAAAATGCTAGTTATTTAATAATTCTCCCTTATAATAATATATCTTTCTCACTCGCAAACGCAAGATCTTCACTATGTCAACTTTTTCTTCAATCAATTATCCTTTGGGAGATAGAATCTGTATGTATGATATCTCTCTCTCTCTCTCTCTCGAATGAAATGGGCATCATTTGTTTCTCGTAGCAATGGCTCTCACGTTGTAGAAGATGCTATGACCGAAAGGAACTCCCAAATTGCGTGATCACTTTTTCGAGAAAAGGATCTTTCGCTTCAACCCAGTGAGTTTATTGAGTTTTAGCAAGCTTAGTGAGTGAGTAGAGCGAGTTGCTTGGGACCGAAGTGGAATCGGTTCCCTCTCCAGCAACGACTAGAATCGATGAGTAAGCCTCCCTTCGTTTTCTTGTATTGTAGAAATGAGCTGAAATCGTTTAGTGAGCGAGCCTACCTCTATTTTCTCACAACATGCTACCAGTTCCATTGACTCACTTGCGAATCGAATTGGACCAATCGATTCGTTTCGGTCTTATTCCAAGACCAGGTGGGCCGATTCCCGGTTCTAGAAATTAGGAAATGGCCCCTCTAGTTCGGTTCCCATTTTCTGGGTGGGAACCGGACCACCTAGGAACGATCACCCCCTGTCTCTATGTAGATGATCTCATGTATACTGGGAGCAATGAGAAAATGATTCAAAAATTCAATAAAAGATAATATTGTATTTGAGATGACAGAATTGGGCTTGATGCACTATTTTTTTGGCGTCGAGATCAATAAAAATGAAGGATTTTTCATCACGCTGAAGACATATGCGGAAAACCCCCTGAAGAAATTCAAGATGAACTATTGCAAAAAAGTTGCCACACCGCTTGTGTCAAACAAGAAATTACTAAAGGAAGATGGAGTAGAAGAGGCCGATGCTTTTCTCTACAAAAGCCTTATTAGGAGACTATTATAATCTCATTGCTACACAACCATACATCATGTACATGACCACTTTACTATCAAGCTTCATGCAGAGTCCAAGCCAAATTCACTTTGGAACTGTCAAAAGAATTCTAAAATATTTACAAGGAATAACAGTTAATAGCATTTGGTATCAGCCAAGTGCAAACGCAAAGCTATTTGGTTACACCGACAGTGATTGAGTAGGTTCATCTGATGATATGAGTACTATTGGTTATGAATTCACACTAAGTTCCGGAATGTTCTCATGGGTATTGAAAATCAAGACTCGTTGGCATAGTCTACCATAGTGGAGTATGTCACGGCCGCTACTATCACTAGTCAAGCATTATGGCTTCAAATAGTAGAGGACATAAGAGAAACGCATGCAAAACATATTCCATTATCTTGCGACAAGAAGTCCACTATCGTAATCTCTAAAAATCCTATATTTCATTAAAGAGCCAACATATTGCCATCAAATATTACTTCATCCGAGAAGTGTGAAGAAATTAAGAGATCAAGCTCAAGTATTGCAGAACAGAGGATCGAGTCGCAAACATATTTACTAAAGCACTACTACAAGTCAGGTTCAAGACATTACGCAAAATGGTCTCTGTGCGAAGAAAATGGACCAAGAAGGAGCGTTAAACAATTATCCATTTACCAGAAACCTCTAGATTAATCGTTACCATTCTACAAAACTCTTGTCTATGCCTATGGGATGTTGTTAAAGTTTGTGATAAAAAAAGAGTCCAGCTGAGATCTTATATAGAAGAATCTAAAAATTATCTATGTAACTAGCTAAGATTTTTTTACTATGTCAGTTAATTGAAGGCTATAAATAGGCTAGGCTATTCCAGCTGAGTGGGTGGAAAAAAAAAAAACAGAAGTAAGCATCCTATGTACGAAGCCCTCGTACTGCAAAATCTATTGAATTTCTTTTGGTCCTCCTTTTGCTTTAAAATCAGCCGCCCACTAACCTTGTATTATTAATATTTTAATATTTTTTTCATTCAATGTCAAACTAGCAATGTTTATACAAAGACCCGACTTAATCAATGCCGTCACTCGATTGACATTTCTTCTCAAAAACATTGCTCTCTCTCTCTCTCTCTCGTTCGTTATTGAACGATCATTTCACAACCCAAAGAAGCAAAATAGTGAAAAGCCATGCAAGTCTTGACCCTAGCTCCGGCCTTAGTTTTTCTCCTCGTCCTCGCAATTACTAAACTACTCAAATCCAAAACCCCCCATCCGAAACTCCCGCCGGGGAGCTTTGGATGGCCGATCATTGGCGAGAGCCTCGAGTTCCTCCGTTCCCACCATGAAGGGAGACCGGAGAAGTTCATCCAGGACCGGATGAGCAAGTACAACTCCCCCGTGTTCAAGACCTCGGTGCTCGGGGAGCCGATGGTCATCCTGTGTGGGCCAGCGGGGAACAAGTTCCTGTTCTCGAACGAGGGCAAGAAGGTGGCGCTGTGGTGGCCGAGCTCGGTCAGGAAACTGATGGGGAGGTGCCTCGTAGCCAAGGCTGGGGTCGAGGCGAGGTCGGACAAGAAACTGCTCATGAGCTTCTTTAATCCGGAGGCGCTCATGAGGAGTGTTCAGGTCATCGATGAGGTGACAAAGGCCCATCTTAGGACTCACTGGAAAGGTATGTGCATATCAAAGATCATTAATCATTAATTACACTTGAAATTTGTATCTTTTGTGATTCTATGATGAATCTCACGGTGCTCTCTGAACATATTACTCGGTCAAAAAACACACAATTCTCGCAATAGGGGGTCGTCACGGGTTTAGAAATTGCTTCCCTTTTTTAAGTCATTTCTTGCTCCACTTTCACAATAGACAAACTTCTTCGGTGGATAAACAATGGGGCACCAATAAAGAGAGGTAAAGTAATCGGATGAATCACGTTGACCAGGGGCGGCGGCGTCAGGAAATTGAAAGTTATAAAAATGAAAAATCCTTTTAGTAAAAGAAAAGCACGTGAAAAGGTGTCTCTCCATATGAATATTTGTCCTAAATACGAGGAAAAAGAAAAGGTTTAATGAGAGAGTGTACTGTTCCTCGGAGAATGACTGGCGAATGAAGACAACAACCGCGCGCAGTTGGGCCCTTGTGGCCTTAGCAATCGCATAGAACAGCAAACCCATGTCCATCTCTTCTAATTCAAGAATAGATATGAGCCTCACTCTATTTTCACGCTTTAAATAACTAACATTCACTCAAATTATTGAGTTGATGAAAATAGTTTCAAGAGAATTGATTGATCAACAAGGTGAAAATGGTGAAAGTTGTTATATATTGAAAATGTAAAAGCTGCTCATTGACATGATTAACAACGTTGTTTTACTCCTCCATCATCAGTTCCGTTCGTTTTTATACAAACTTCATTTCCTCTCTTATACTTACTAATGTGCTTAAGCTGAATTCTGTGAGGGATACATTACAATGACTTCGAATGTGGTTGGTAATTTTTGTTAATTAACTTATGTCAAATCTAAAGTATAACCATAGAGAGTTCACAATTTAACTATCACTCAAAAAAGAACTTGAACCAAAGAAGTGTATATGACGGAGTTATTGGATATTGAACTCTAGAGAGAGATTGTATATAAATTTCTACACATCACCGCTTTATTGATATTTGTTTAAAACAAAATATCTATCATTAAGTACATTAAAGTAGTTGAATCTTAGAGGATTCTTATAGAAAAGCAACTAATCTGTAACCTTCTCCGACTTAAACACAAGAGAAGAGCCAATAGTTAAAAAGTAGATGAAATCATGAGATTGATTGACACATTAAAGGTATGTATTTCCCTTTTCATCAATCTTAGCATTGATGAGAGTGTGTCTAAAGCTAATCTAGGGGTATCGAAAGCTATTTGAATTTTAGGTTGTGTCTAAAGCTATCGAAGGAGTGAAAATTATGTAGCCTAAACAAATTGGAAAGATGTGCATTTTTAATTATTGGGGAGGAACCTCTTTCAAGTAGGCGCAATTCTCGACTATCATCAGATTACAAGACTAAAACTGTGCGTGCACTAATTAGGTGGTGTATGATTCCGATTATTTGTGACTACGAATTTTTTATTTTTATTTTTATGTTTCTGTTGTTGGCATGCATGCTGGGCTCTGTGTAACTACGCACTCGCACCTTTGTCCTCATCCATCGTGAACAGTTGTCCAATTCATTTATTTTTTTACTAATAGTGAAAAAGGTTGGTTAAAACTAATCTAGCAAGTTAATCATCATACATGTTCAATGGAACTTGATACCGACACAATTCTCGAATGTAATTCGTCTAGATAGAAGCATAAAGGATTCTTAAGATTGGCATCTCTGAACATATGCAGGAGCAATTTCTAGATCTTAACTCATCAAAATCTACAATAATCGCATTATATAAATCTCTGTGTGTGTGTGTGAAGGCAAAGATCAGCTGGAGGCATACTCAACCCTGAAGCAGCACACCTTCGACCTCGCGTGCCGGCTGTTCATGAGCATCACAGACCCGCAGCTCATCTCGAGGCTTGCCGAACACTTTCACGTGTTCCTCAGGGGAGTCATTGACTTCCCCATCAACGTCCCAGGCACAAAGTTTTATCGGGCAAAGAAAGCGGCCGATTCCATCAGGAAGGAGCTCCGGGTGTTGGTGAAGCAGCGCCGGATGGAGCTGGAGAAGAAGATGGCCTCACCTTCGCAAGACCTCATGTCGCACCTGATAGCGAACGGAGACGAGAATGGGAAGCTCATGCCCGAGGTGGAGATCATAAACAACATGTTGAATCTCCTATTCGCTGGCCATGATACGTCCACTTCCACTCTAGTGTTGATCATCAAGTACCTGAGTGAGCTGCCTCATGTATTCGAGAAGTTCATTGCCGGTTAGTCCCTCTTTGTCCTTGGTTTTCCTAGTCACCAGTGTGTTGAGTGCACAGCGTGGCTCTGATAATACTTTTTGAGAAAGACACGAAACTCACTTAAAGAAAACAAACTTTTTTATTAAATGCGCTTCTATAATTTTGGTTCGGAGAAATTCTCACACACCCACACTTACACACACACTTGAAATGGGAGTCAATTATTTGCCCACACATTTCTAGTTACAATAGCTTACAAGAAAACATTTAGATATTTAAGGAGTAGCCTAGAAAAATCTAGAATTTTCAGGGAAGAGAGGAGGCCTAACATTTTTTTTTCAAACTACTCTTCTGTCAACGTGGATCTGGCAACCATGCCAAGTTGCTCACGAAACTCTTAGAACTTTGCTGCTCAAAGTGCTTTAGTGAAGACATCTATAACTTGATCACTTGTTTTGGCGTACTTCAACTCTATCTCGCCTAGTAATACCTTTTATCGCAAGAAGTGATAGTGTACTACTACATGCTTGGTCCTTGCATGAAAAAATGGATTCTTTGGTAGCTTATGGTTGATAGATTATCACAGTTCAGCTGCGTCAAGTAGTCTAGCAGTTGATGGAGATCCTCCATCAACTATACCAGCTACGTATTCTCTTGAGCTGCCTTGTTGCTGCTCTATACTCAGCTTCCACTGTAGACAATGACACAGTTGGTTATCTTTAAATACACCATGACACCACTGCTATCCGAGAATAAGCATTTACCCGCTAGTTGATCGCCTTGTGTCACGATCTCTAGCAAAGTCAACATTGCAATGCCTCACTACCTTACACAATGCTTCTTTCTTATCCAAGAGTCGAAGATCAAATATATCCTTTACATACCTTATTATTTGTTTGGCTGCATCCAAGTGAGGCTTTTGTGGTCTCCCATGAACCGACTTGCTTATCCCATTGTGAAGGTAATGTTAGGCCGTGTTATCGTTTGGTTAATAAGACTACCCACCAATTGCCTATACGTAGGTTAATCTTCCAATTCTCGTCCCTCGACTGCACAGCTTTATATTTCCATCCATAGGAGTAGATATTGGCTTGCAATCAAGCATTCCAAACTTTTGTACGAGATCTCGTGCATACTTCTGTTAACATAGAAACAACCTTGTTTTGGTTTGCTCAAACTAGAGTACCATAAAGTGTTTCAATTAAGCTCCTTTATCTGAAACCGCACCAAGAGGTTGGCTCTAATTTGACATATCACCTTTACATCATCTCCAGCAATTATCAAATTATCCACATAGATCAGTATTACTACAAGCTTTCCATCTTCTGCCTTCATAAACAAGTTCGAGCTTGTTGGGGCTACAGAGTAGCCACTTTGCATCAAGAATTCCACAATCTTTAGATACCACATTTTTGGGGCTTGTTTTAAGCCATAGAAATCTTTCTTTAACTTAGAGACGTAGCCTAAATGAGCATTACTCTTGAAACCATCTTGTGGCTCCATGTATATATCTCGATCTAACTCCCAATGTAGAAAGGCATTTTTCTAGTCCATCTGCCACAACTTCCATGACTTAATTCTGCAAGTGCTAGTGAGATCTTACTTTAGTAACCTTTGCCACTGGGCTAAATGTTTTGTCATAATCTATGCCATACTCCTCGAGCAAATCTTTGAGCAACCTGCTGCCTTATATCTTTCATTGACCCATTTAGTTGAGTTTTAAATTTGCAAACCCATTTGCAAGATATAGGATGTACCTCTTTAGGTCTTGGCACCAAATCTCCTGTCTCATTTTGCCTTAGTGCTTGCATCTCTTCTTCCATAACCTTCTTCCATTTCGCGCTTTGCGAGGCTTCGTCGTATTTAGATGGATCACTTACTTCGACAACTCGGTCAACGTCGTATTTGCATATTTGGGATTTGGTTCCCTCTGCCTTGTTGATCATCTGAGCAGAGGCACTTGCTCTTCAGGTTCTTTTATCTGATTTGGTTGGAGCTCTTCTGTTGTTCTCAGACGTCCCCCTGTTCACCATGGACTCTTTGATTTTTCTGGTGACGGTGCTCTGACTTCTCTTCTAGCTACGGGTTCGCCTTCTACATTTACTTCTTCAATCGACTGGACCTTATCAAGCTTATCATTTCTTTCATTCTTCCATCAACCTTTGAATGAGCTTCTTCTTCAATTTGTTTTGAATTTGGCTATTCAAGGGCTTGTGACGACCACCATGATGATAGTCTGTCAAGCACCACAATTCCGGAAGTGGAATATCGTCTGTTGTAGGATCACAAACACTTACCTTTTCCTTTTACCATCATATTTCACAAATATACGGCGAACTACCTTCCTATCAAACTTGATGCGTAGATGATCAAGCACGAATGCATAACATATACAACCAAGTACTCTAAACTGACTCATGATGGGCTTGCGATTCCATTACGTCTCGTATGGTGTCATGAAACCAAGCCTTGCTGGGGTAGTCTATTGATCTCCTGCTCTGCTGTCTTTATACATTCGGCCCAAAAGCCACATTCCTTGCATGCAGCATGCTCCTGCGACTCTCTGCCAAATGCCAATTCTTTCTTTGGGCAACTCCATTTTGTTGTGATGTATTCAAGCAGGTAAATTGTCGACATAACTTACATATTTGTAGATATTTTGTGAATTCGTGTGATGTATACTCTCCCCCATTATCAGTACAAAGGCATTGTTCCTATTTAATTCTCTACTTTTTCTTGGAACTCTTTAAGTTTGTCTAATGTCTCGAAATTTTCTTTCATAAAGTTGACCTAGATGTACCCGGAAAAGTCATCAATGAACGTTATCATCGACTTTGATCCTCTAACAAACGGATGTTTTGTTGGTCCAAATCCATATGAGTGGATAAGCTTGAGAGGCATCTTAGCTCTGAACGTAGACTCCTCATATAGAAGTTGATGTGCGTTCATATACTGGCACCCAGCACTAATTACGTTTGCTCAAACATCTAATTGGGGGTGACCCTTTGGCATAGCCTTCTCATCATCACGTTCTACTTGTGGTAGCTTACATGCTCGAGCCTAGCGTTCCACAAGTTAGGCGTCTCGCTCTTTCGAGTTGTGTCCACGTATGCCATCTGTGCCGACATCACGTAGACACACTCCAGTTGATGCCCCTCTATGATTAGTGTATTGGTGGGTTTCCAATTGCGGTACACCTTAACGTTTCTCGGACCAAACACCACATAATTGCTTAAATTTGTCACAATTTTTTTCTTCATTCCCGACACATGATACACATTTTGCAGTTTAATCTGATTTGAACTGAACTGGGGTGTTATCACCATTTAATTGACGTGGGTAATCGATAACCTTGAGTTGTTTGCGGTGACAACTACTCGTCCACCAGTGTACTTAGACATGCTTGATAGCTTGTCTTGATCTCCGATCATATGGTTTGAACAACCTGGGTCAACAATCCAATCATTATCATAACTGATTAATTTATCACTTATTGTGATAAGGGCCATTGCATCATCTGACTCAATGATACTGGTGGTCGTGAACTTTTCTTGCTCCTCTACGCAACCGACGCTTGGAAATCCCATTCTTCTCCATTGTCATTCTCCTTCCCGATAAAAATTGCGACATTTCCCTCCACCCGCTTGAACGAACAGACTCTAGCAAAGTGACCTACTTTGCCGCAAATAGAGCATCGTCCACTATGCCTTCTGTTGCTTTTATCTTCATTGTGATCCTTGTCGCGATCCCGGTGAGCTCCCCCTAGTTGAGTGCTCGTCCTTTCTGGTTGCCTCTGCTAGTTTCCATGATTTTTCCTCAGTTTGCCATCTCTATTGCCATCTCTATTGCCACACCCACACTTACACATTTGAAACGGAACACTTCTCGGCTATTCATAGGCCTAACAAGGAGGTGTAATTACCTCTACATATTTGTAGAGAAATACTTTCCTAGATTTATCTAGAGAATTCCTAGATGTAACCAATCTAGCAGCTACACATTGCTCCTTAAAATATCTTATAAGAAAATATCTAGACACTCGAGGAGTAGCCTGGAAAAATCTAGAATTCTTGGAGAGGAGAGGAGGTGCAACATTTTCTTCACAGTGCAATGTAATTGGCCTACGCGTATGTACTTAACATTCGCATTTGCCAGAGCAAAGGGAAATCGCGGCATCGAAGGCACGGGGAGAGCTGCTTTGGTGGGAGGATTTGCAGAAGATGAGATACTCGTGGAATGTCATCTCGGAAGTCATGAGGATGAGCGCGCCAGTATTCGGTTCTTTCCGCCAGGCCCTGGTTGATTTCACGTACGAAGGATATACCATTCCCAAAGGCTGGAAGGTAATGCATGCATTCGTTCTCCGTTACTACATCATATAAGTGCTTACTTCCTTCGTTAGAGCTGATCATGGGGCATCGTGGCACACACGGCGTACCCAAAAGGGCCTGAAGTGCAAAATCGACGAGTTTAGACAGTGCTGATTTCGTTTTCGGATGACGCCTTGCCCATCTAGGCCTGAATAATTATGAAAAAACTTCAGCTTTTTTTTTGGGGCGGGGCTTGCTAGATTTCCTTCTTCATTATTCTAGAAGAATTAGAAATTTATAATGGGCTTACTCGTTTGTTTCTTGCTCTGTCATGTATAGTTACATTGGAGTGCATGTGTAACACACAAAGACCCAAACTCCTACCCAAGAACGCTGACCTTCGACGAATCGAGGTTCGAGGGATCCGGGCCTGCACCATATTCATTCGTCCCATTCGGAGGCGGGCCGAGGATGTGTTTGGGGCTCGAGTTTGCGAGGGTGGAGCTACTCGTGTTCTTGCACAATCTGGTCAATGGATTTCACTGGAGTTTGGTCGACCCCAACGAGAAAATAATTTACGATCCCATGCCAATACCAGTTAAAGGACTTCCCATCCGTCTTCGAGCTCGTGACTCTTAGCTTTTTCTTGCTTCAATGGAGATAAAGCCACTTTGATGTTGTACTTAACTACCAATAAGCTATTCGCTTGTTTCTGTCTTACTATGAAACCTGAACGCTTGGCATCTGTACTATTCAAAGTGCCTTATGTCGTGTGTGTTGCGTTTCTGAGAGCTTTCGTCTGGTTGATTCTGTCCATTAAGCTCGCCATGCTTAGAATAAATTTTAAATAGTTCTGGAAAAGACAATAACATCAGTCGCACGACAGCTTAATGCTGGGAAAGAATTGCGAGGTCAGTGCGAACACATGGAGGAAGGATATTAGGGGGAGTGAAAATTCATTCACGAGTAATATCTATGCAAAAGGTTTGAATAGTCAATCGATAAACGTTTGACTGCATGTTATACTAGACCCAATTTTAGTGAAATAGCAACCAACATTTCGGGTGTATATGTTTGAGTGAACTAAAATTTTGCGAATTAGTTTTCTATATTTTCATGCGTTTGGTTTGCTGAAAATGATCGATCAATCAACATAAAATCATTTACGGTCAAAGAAAATAAGCACGTTCAAAGTTGGGAAAATAAATTTCCTAACCTGAAAATGGGAAAATATTTTTTCCGGAAAGTATTTTCTTTTATCACGAAATTTTCCCTGAGGGTGTGTTTGTTTCATCGAAAACTTCTTGTTGCTGAAAAGTATTCTTAGGAAATTCAATTTTAGAGAGAGCAAACTGTTTTTTTGTATGCTATAGAGGTTATATTTTCAGATCAAATTGTTAGTTAGTCATACTCTAGAGGTTAAAAAAGTAAGCAATTAAAGTAGGACATTTAAGCCATTTGGCAAAATAATTATCAATGTTATGCTCTTTCATTTAGGAAAAGCTAGCGTATGGAACGGGCCAATGAAACAAATATACATCGAAAAATAAGATGTTAAAATATATCTCGAGTTAAAATCCATTGAACGACTTGAATCGAAGTACATGGACATGATGCGTTATGCAAGGTTGTCACAATTGGAACGGGAAACAAGGAAATTGTGGAAATTTGGAAGGTTCTTCAAGAAGTATTCTATGTCCGAAATCGGGCGGAGCAAAACACGTTGATTTCCTTTTACGGATTAAAGTCGTTTTCATTATTTCCATGGTCTCCACATATATATCAGAATATGCGAAAGGGGATAATCTTCATGGCTTTTGGATTGGTATGGCTGGCAGCGTTTTTGGCATGTAATGCAAAGCAGAGCTTCTTTCTAACGTTACTTCTTGCAAAATTTGAGAGTGCTCAAGGTGTATCTGTTTGAGTGAAATAATTTTTTGCGAATTAATTTTTGGACTATCACGCATTTATTTTGTTAAATATAATCATCAACAGAAAATCGTTTATCATCATAGAAAATATGCATGCTTAAAGTTAGGAAAATGAATTTCCTAATCTGAAAAGGGGTAAACATTTTCCTAAAATACGATATTACGGAGAGGATTTTCCTTTATCATGAAATTTTCCCGAAATAAACACACCATAAGTTGACAAAATCTTGTATTAAGATTATGTGTATTTTACTGTGAGATTCAGTATTATTTCACGATAAATTGTGTAAGACTAAACACTAGGAATTATTAGGTGCATTTGAAGGTTGAGGAACACCTAAGAGTGAGTGATTCAAGTGCAGTTGTAATATTCGTTATATGGTTTGATCTATAATAAACTCCTATGTTGCTCTCATCGTGGAGTAGGTCCTACTGACTGAATCACGTAAGTTGGATGTTCAATTTATTTCGTTGTTCTATTTAATCGTTTGTTTTTCACAATAAAACTAAGAATTGTTACTTCACTCAAAGCTTCTTTCATTTTTGTTTTAGGATAAGTGCATTGGAAGTCCTAAAAAATATCGAGAAAGTGCAATTGAGTCCTAAAACTTTCAAAAAATACAATTAAGTCCTAAAACTTGTCACGAAATGCAATTGAGTTCTAAAAATTTCAACAAGTACAATCAAATCACAAAACTTGTCAAATTGGTTCAATCAAGCCTTTTTTTTAATTACACTTTTTGAAAATTTTTGGATTCGATTGCACTTTCGCGACAAGATTTAGGACTTGATTGTACTTTTTGAAAATTTTAAGACTCGATTGCACTTCGTGATAAGTTTTAAGGCTTGATTATACTTTTTAAAAGTTTTATGACTCAGTTGCACTTTTGTAATAAGTTTTAGGACTTTCAGTGCACTTATCCCTTCTGTTTCTGTTGACCACATAGCTTTGGCACTCTATCTATGAAGCTTTTCTGTTTTCTGTGTTTGAAAAGTTGATGAGGCTGCCGAATGCACAAAAAGATTGGGGGCATGGCGGGCATAAGTTTTGTTCTATAGCGCACTTTGAGATCTGTAATTTTCTTCCACCAATGTATGTCACAGGGTGATGCTTTCTTAGTTGAGCACTCTTCCATCAAATGAGGAGAAACGCAAGCCATCTTTCTCGTAATAGATTATTCTCAAGAATAGTATGACGAATTGTATCATCATCACTAATCGTACCACATGTAATTTGGCTCCGGCATCTAGTCCATTGAGCGAAACATATGTACCAGTTTAGCAAAACAACTAATTTCGATCTGTTGTGGCCATAATTTAGATAGCGGCATCAGATCATAACCACTGGGAGGCCAATCCCATTCCTCTAAGGTGATTATCATCCCAAATCCGGATTCTTGACACAACTCTGATGCCACTTTCATAAACCAATTTTTTTAACCCTTGTGCAAACTTTATACTTTATCCCGAGGACACAAAACTCTAGTCTTCAGCCCATATGAGTATGAGAGAAATCGGATCGTGATGCTTAGATGAACGTTGCATATACGTTAGGTGTGTGGTTGTAACCGTTTATTGTTCCTATTTATATACTGATGGGTTTGCCCCACTTGTCCAACATCCACCCAATCTAAGAAAACACTCTCTCTGTCCTCTCAGGGTCTGACCCAACAGAGATCCAAACCTGACCAAGATGCAAATGGAGCTCCGACTACCACCGTGGCCGCCGACACCTCCGCTAGTCACTCCGCCAAACCTGTGGCTGTTGAACGGCACCACTGCCGCTCCCCCTCCCTCGGAAGGCTCACGCGTGAGCCGATCCTGTGACCTCAGCTCATAGTCATCGTGGCTCATTCTTGTCAACAGCAACGGCGACGGCCAAAATATGATGATTTTGAAAGAAAGTATGAAAAAGATTGGTAATGCTTTTAGTATACCATGATAGATTGGCCTTCAAATCTCGCGATAATATTTTTTTTATATGTATTCTGTATACTGCTAAGTCAAAGTACGTGAATGGTCAGAATATAGATGCAGATAACCTTTTTCTCCAAGCATGGATCGGAGAAAGTCAGCAACTTCGGCTGCGCCCAATAAATAGAAAACTAAGGCGAGTCCCAGAGAGGCCCCACGACCGTGATGGTAAGTGTCGAATCTGGTCCCCTTCTCTTCGCTCCAAGTCAAATCGGGTCCCCCCTCCCCATGACTTCCCTCACTCCTTTTGCATTTCATTCAAAATCCCCTCCTTCACGCGCGTACAATCACCACCTTTAAGCTCGTTTTTGCCAGCAATAAACATGAAAGAAATTGCGGACAAAGAAAGTTTATGTGAGGAATTCAAGGACTTTTCTCTTGTTAAATGTGTTAAATATACCGACGTCATATTACTCATTCAATCATATTCTTTTATTTTGCAATCGTGGTACTAATCAAAATTTCGAATTCAATTTGAGGTCACGCTCGATATTTCAGAATCAAAGATTGAATAGTAGGGCATCTCAAAATAGCAAAGTTTTATCTCACTCGGACATGATGAAGAATAGAAAGTTAAAAAAAGGAAAATTCACCTTTGGACTTTGAATCTGTAACTCTTTTCAATCTAGATATTAATATGTTAGTTTTGTGTAATCAATTGAAAGTTGCATAAATTCTCTAATCATGTCATTCATGCTCTAAGGCCACTTAATTGGAGCTGACATGTCCGTCACAGTTGACTAGATCTAACTTGAAAATTGTTTTACCCCTTGAACTATCAACTAATAAGTGACATTGAAAACCCTCCCGCCGAATTGGATTCTGAATACACCCCCTCCTCTTTGGGATATTTTATGTTTAGAAACCTAAACTCTATGTTATCCTTTTGTAAGTTGATGAATGAAACGCAATGTTTTGAAAAAAAAGAAAAAACTAATACGTGACATTAAAAATCCTAACAACAAAAATCACAGCCAAACCTTGGGCATTGAAACTTCTCAACACGCTTTCAACATCGTACTCTTGCCCCCTCCAATGGACACATCAGCTTTATTCAGTCGCATATGGAGTCAAAGGAACTTCACTAGAAAATTCATGCATGTTCAAGTATTAATTAGACAAATTATAATTCGAGAGCTTTTATTACACAAGATGTGCAATTTTAAAAATAAAGAATGAGATTTCAGGACTTCTTTTATACGTTTAGAGTAGCCAGCGGCCTACTCTACCCTCAAACTTCTTTTCCATGTCTAGAGTAGCCTTAGCCATCATATCATGCGTGTTGTTAGCTGTTCGATCTAAAGTTTATGGGAAAATTATCGGGTCCTAAATTTATTATATTCGTGGCAATTCAGCCATAAAATTTTTAATTTGATCAATTTAGTCTTAAATATTTTAATGATTTGTCAAAATAGTCCTTTTGACCAATTTTGACCAGAATCAGATAATGTGGGCACCGGGCGTACCATGAAGATGGTCAGTGCTAACGTGAAAATTTTTTATGTAATATTTAAAATTTTGGATCTTTTTTATTTTTTATTATATATTTCTTTATTTCATTTCCTTACCAAGTCCGGCAAGGGTTGTCAACCATAGGCGAGGGTTGGCGACCCTCCTTGGCAACTGGGCAAGGGTCGCGGCTCTTGCCCAGACGACCACTGGGTGAGGGCTACAACCCCGCCCTAGTATGGGCGAGAGCTACAACTGTCACCCACAACTGGCAAGGGTTGGTGGGCCTTGCCCAGTGACCGGCGAGAATCGGTCTTTCCTCTCCGGACTTAGAAGAAAAAGAAAGAAAGAAGAAGAAGAAAAAGAGAAGAAAAAATTAATAGAAATGTCCACATCAATATCGGCCGTGCCACGTAGGACGATCGGCGTTTACATCATTGATTTTTAGCTAATTTATTGACAAATCGTTAAAATATTTAGGGCTGAATTAATACAAATATAATAAATTTAGGATTTTCTTGGTAATTCCCCTAAAGTTAGTTGCCATCGACCGTCTAATACGAGCATAGCAAATTTATAGCGCTTTATCCCTCGGCAACATAGACTCTGACCGTGACTAGCTCTCGAATATATGGTCAAATCACTCCAAGGCCAAAAAGCTAAAATTGATTATTAGCGCCGTAATCGTCGATATCATTTGCAATCGCCGTGCAACTTTTGGTAGAGGTCTCCCCTGTCCCGTGTTTTCACGGCGGTTTCAGGTGAATATTGAGGCACCCATACGGTGCTTATGTATAGCATGTTTTATTTTTTAAGTAGTTGTATAATTAATTTAATCGTCCAATTTTAAACAAATAATAGAATATGACAAATTATTGTTACTAAAATGAATATTGTAATACACAATTAAGATGTATGCTTGATGGTATAACTTATAAGGATGTGGTATGTAGTCTCCTACTCTAGTCATATGTTAGGAGCACAAAACAGAAATCCGATACATCTACCTAGGGAAATCGTCAAGAGGGAGCACAAATTTGAGCTTGTCAACATATTCGGTCGAACGCACCTTTACGCAAAAATTTAAGCCTATGAGTTGTGGCCAACTAGAATATATAAACTGATTTGTACCATACTAATCTTTTTTAAGCACAACTCATACGCACATCTCAATAATCTCCCCCTTACATGTGAGTTCAGTGTTAGGTCTACTCATTCTTAATTTAGATATCCTTCAAAAACCACCCTCATTTCCAATGCCCACCTTCCTTTCTGATTTTTTTCTCGAGACCAAGCTAAACTTTGAAGGTTGTCCGAAAATCACGTTGGCCACAAGATTCTTCATTTCCAATGCCCACCTTCATTTTTGATTTTTTTCTCGAGACCAAGCTGAACTTTGAAGGCTGTCCGAAAATCACGTTGGTCACAAGATTCCTTCTTTGAGATGCTCACCAAACACCGATATATATTGGGAGTGGGCCATCAATCAACCATAAGCTTTGTCCATATTTGAAGGTCCAACACAAAATCTTAAGCTTTTAGGTGGAGGGATACCACATGTATATAAAGAGCATATAAGATCCATTATCAAGAGATGTGAGATATTGCAATATATTAAAAGTTCAAACCAAAGGCTTGAGCTAATAGGCGGAAGGACCACATGTATATAAGAAGCATATAATCTCATATTTCAACACTTCTTCTCACGTGCAAATAGAATTTGGAATAACATATGGAATTAGACGAATGGGGCGGATGCACCCCGGAAGAACATGGCTTCGATACAATATTAAAATATTCAACCCAAAAGTTTAAGTTAATAGATAGATGGAGACCACATGTATAACAAGATCATATAAGCTCCATATTTCAAGAAATATTATGTTAGAATGTCTAACGAAAAAACTTAAACTTTTGGAATAATAGATAGTTGTTTCACAAAATCTCACATAGTATTAGAGTAAGTGTTATCCTTTTCGCATTTGTGTTTACCCCCATTAATCAAATTCGATATGCCACTTCTAATCATTCTTGCACGTGAGAGGGAGTGTTATCTCGTATTGCTTGACAATAAGACTTATGTGCTCTTTATATACATGTAGTATTTCTTCACTTGATATCTCAAATTTTTTGAGTTGGACTTTTTAATATTTTGTATGTATTTTATTGTGTTTACATTTCATTTTAATCATTCTCACACCCAATCAAACTCTAATTCAACTTTACCTCATCATCTCTCTCCCTCTCTCGACCCAATCAACCCCAAGCCAAGGTCATTCTCGTTGCCACCGACAAATCCAACTTCGCGGTGCCACCCCCATACCTTCCCTCCCCCGCCGCTCTCTCTCTCTCTCTCTCTCTCTCATTCCTCCAAGGCAGTTGAATGTTGAGTCTCGGGGGCCATGGAGGAACCTTTTCCTCTAGAAGAGGTTCGACTGTCGATCCTTTAAGCCTCTATATCTAGATATGGGACTTCCTCTTTTGGAGGTTGTCTTAATCAACGACTAGCTTGTCGACAGCAATGAGCTGGAGCCCAATGCAGCATCAAGCTTGGTCAACAAGACAAAGAGAGGCATGAGTCCATCGTTGGATCCAATGAAGCCGGTGGTTGCAGTGACCGTGGCAGCCGGAGACTTCGAGAAGGCAGCGGCAACCAAGTAACGCATTGAGTTCTGCATCTGATATCCTCGCACTCAATAGATAAATGTCTAGCGTGATCGTATAATGCACGAGGTACACGAATGGAGATTGAACTAAGAGAGAAGGAATGCGCACATTAGATATGTGAATGGACGGAGACTACTTCTTTTTAACTTGGAATATGGCGTGACTTTATGTTTTATATATCTTTTGTTCAGTTTGACCCGTGTGTTGTCCGCAGTGCGTTTCGGACCCACGACTGTCATGCGCGTAAGAACCGCATCGGTCGTCCTTCAGGTGTGAAATCAACCACCGTTTCTCCGTCCACCGACCTCACCTCTTCAACTTAAGCTTTAGCATTAGCTTTAAACTCGCCCCCCAAATCTTTCAAAACCCAAACCCAAAGCCCGCCTCTCTCTCTCTCTCTCTCTCTCTCTCTCTCTCTCTCTCTCTGCGTCTCTTTCGCCGTTTCTTTCTTCGCTTCATTCAACACTCGCTCTTCCTTTTGTTCCGAGCAAGAATTGAATCCCTTCTCTCTTTTCCTATTTCCCACCAATTTCCCCTCTGCCCATGTTGTCCACGTAACTCTCTCACTCACTTTGTGTTGTTACGTGCTTGAGAAACTGGACGAAAATGGCGCGTTCACAGAGTGAGAACTCCGGCTGCTTCTCTGCCCTCCTGCGCCACCTCCTCTGCAGCAACGGCGCTCCAACCCACCCGTCCGACGACGCCCTCGTCGCCGAACCGAGCTCCAAGAGCACCAACGACGCCGACCCTGTCTTCATCAAAGAATCGCCCAAGCGCGACCCGGCCAGGACCCACCGGCCGTCGCAGAGGCCGGCGGGAGTCGTCGCCAGGCTCATGGGGCTCGACTCGCTGCCGGACACCAAGTGGGTCCCCAGGGCCAAGTCCCCCGACACGTTCCTCCGGAGCAGGTCGGTCAATTTCATGGACTACCTGCTCGAGCTCGACCTGGACGAAGCCGACCGCAACCGGCACCGGAGGGTCAGGACTTCGGTGTCGTTCCGCGAAGTGCCCGCTTCGTTAGCGGATCGAGAAAAGAGCGAGGATCTAATCGTTCTGTACTTGGGTGATGAGGAGGATTTGGGGAAGAACAAGAAGAAGAAGGGTGAAAGCAGAGGAAGGAGAAAACAGAAGACGCCGACGACGACGACGAAGAAGAAGAAGAAGGAGAAGGAGATGGAGAGCGAGCGTGAGGAAGGTAAAGAGAGGAAGGTGTCCAGACTGAGGGACGAGCCGAGGCGGGTCAAAGTCAGTCAACGCGATCGGGGAGGACAGCCACAGCACTGTGCAGAGCTAAAACTGAGGGCAAGGAAGCCATTGATGGTGGTGAAAGAGAAGGAGGCCTTGGTGGGCGGCGATCTGGCATTCGTAAGCGGAGGAAGGAGAGATAAGCGAGCCGCCGTTGGCGGCGGAGAGACTTCGTCGAGCCCGGTTTCGGTTCTTGATCAACCGCCGGCAAGTCGTCTTCAAGGTTTGCCTTCTCAGTTCCATCGTCCTTCTTTACTAAAGTTGTTGGTATATCCTCGCATAATCACATAATGTGGGCCCCATTTTTGTTTGATATGCCATCAACATGATCTAGTCGACTACATACTTCGCATACCATTTGCACATTGCTAGTTTGGACAGTGATTTGCTTAATTAATTGAGGGATAATGACAAAAAAAAATTCATAAAATTTGGTTCAATGTGCAACGTGGTCTCTGATTTTAGCCTAATATTGAACGTGGTCCCTGAACCTTAGCCCAAGGTGCAATGTTATTTATGAACTTTTAATTATTTCAATGTGGTCTATAGAGTTTTGGTACATGTTCAATTTAGTCCATGGACTGTATGAAAATGTTCAATGTTTTCCTTTCATTAATTCAAGTTTCGGGATAACATTGAATATTTTTATACAGTTTAGGGACTAAATTGAACATGCACCAAAAGTCCTTGGACCACACTGAACAAATTAAAAGTTTAAGGACCACATTACACATTAAGTGAAAGTTTAGAAACTATTTGTGTCATATAGTATGAAAGCACACAGGAGAATCGAGGTGGATAATTAGGAGAGAGAACAAGAGGAATATTCCTCTCAATTAATCGAGGAAATGGAAGAACATTAGAGATATTTGTTGAGACCTATGTGAAATTCAATTGAGATTTTTTTTGTTACCTTATTGTCTTTCAATTTGCTTACATGTCATGTCTGTACGAAATAAACTCAAATTATTATTAAGGTCATGTTCTGAATTTTATTTGTAATTTGTGCAGAGGACAGTACCACCAACAGACATTTCAGCTCCGTCCAACTCGCGCGCATCATTCTAGATCCGTTCGTTCGTGACCAAAAACCATGCAACAACCAGATCGATGGTTCTTCGGAGGTCGATCACTTCATCGAGGAGGTCATTAAGGTGAGGAAATTGGCTGAAGAAGACGTACAGCGCTCGAAATGGTTCAGAGTTGGTTCTGCAAATCTTGAAGAGTTGAGTGCGATGCTCGAGCACCATGTCCTGGACCATCTGGTGGAGGAAGTCGTGAGGTTTCTATGAAGGAGAAAGTTGTCATTTTAGGGTTCGAGAAACCGCTGATGGGGAGAGGGTTGGTCAGTGCCATATATATGTTCGGGTTAACTTCACTTATAGTCCTTGTACTTCTAGGACATGTGACTTTGATACGGGCAATTGGCTAGCTAGGGCGGGGCAATGGTTAATGCGCCTGCTAAACTCGTCTCTCAAGTAACTAGTCGATCGCTAAAGTCGTGCTTTACGTGCTCTCTGCCTCACTTCTCTCTAATCTCAAAATTATCCATTTGGGTTCGCTTATTCCATCTTAATTAGAGTCCGAAGTTGACTGATTCCTTTAATCTGTCGAGGATTGAGAGTATATGGATCGAAATTGACGAGTTCGGAATCATACGTACTTCATTGAAATTTCAAAACATAACCCTACAGTTGGTGGGCTAGAACAAAAGTGGCGAAAGCTGGAATGTAACGTTCTGGATTTGCTGGTGTGAAAAGGGTTTCGTGACTCCGACTTAAGTCGTCGTTGACGTCGACATCGAAGTCGGCTTCTGCTTCAATTTCCACTGAAGTTGCTCCCCCCAACACGATCCCTTCGTGATGTACTGAACGAGTGATTTTTCACTTTTGTTTTGTTTTCCTATTCATGAGCAGAGGATGGCCATAAAAAAAACAAGAAGTCATGTGCAGTGCAGTGCAACTGCCGACCACGGGAGGACATACCATTAAAGTTTTTTTTTTTTTGAATCGAAAGTAAAATGGTTATGTTTCAAATAGACATTCGGTGAAACCCAAGCAAGTTCCAGTGGCGGTGGCAAAATCTCCGGCCAGCGGCGAGGGAATAGCTGACAGCTAGAACGCTCAAGCATGACAAGGAATTCTGGCGACGTACTCCAAACACGACCGGGGCGATGTCGTGACGACTCTGATGGGTAGAGTATCTAAGAAGAGAGGCAGTGGCATGAAGCCGCGGAATAAGCGTCGAGGATGGCAAATGTCAACAGAAGCCATGAAAAAGGTGGAGGGAGAGAATGGCGAAAAGCCGCAACGATGAGGCTAGCGGCATAGAGCCAAGACCGATGGTGTTAGCGAGTCACGGGAGGCAGGGACAGGTCTAAAATTTAAAGATTGGGGTTTCCAAAATTATTTGATAGAGAACTTAGGGTCAATAAATAGTAAAAGTAAATTAGTATAACACTACTATGGAAAATAAAATAAAATTTTTATATTGATTGTCGCTACTGGAAAATATAACATACCAATCGTTGATAGTTTCAGTTAGGGTTTTGTTAGCATAATAGTCTTTGAGTTACCGTTAGAAGACTAATATGTTGTAAGCCACAAATTATTGAAGGAGTAGACTCCACAATAATTTCTAATTATTTATTATTTATTTTTTTGTGATAAAAAACAGGCTGTTATTCTCACAATAGATAATAGACAGTCACACAAGTATTCCTCTTTTAGTTATAATGCGAAGAGCATATACTCCTACTTTATGAGGAAGCACGTACATACAATGTAATAGGCCCTATAAGAAAGACCATAGTAGTAGTATGGATTTATATTCAGTTCAATTGATTGGTAATTACACTCTCTTTGATGGGTTTTGTAGAGATCATGGTATTGGAGGCATCGCACCGTGTCGGGAACACTACATCAAATCGGTGTTTCGGAATGGATGAACAAACCATTGCTTGAGAAAATGAGGTTTTTGCTCTCAAACGCTAACTTGTCATGGGGTTTCTTGGTTGTGGTTGCAAATTTGGCGGGTCACATGAGTAGCATATCTCCATCAACTGCCATAGAGTGTTGAAATTTAAAGAAAGTGTGAATTATAACTGTTGATTGCTCAAGCCTACAACTATTTGGATGTCCTGCGTATGCCCATGTGAGGAATGATAAATTGGAGTCGAGGGCAAAATGCATATTCCTAGACTATACATGAAAGGTGAAGGTTATAAGTTGTGGCGTTCAGACTAGAAGTCATCCAAATTCCTAGTAAGCAGAGATCTCATATTCGATGAATCGGTGATGCTTCGGGGCAGCTAGGAGTCTTCGGTAGATTAGATCGACCTTAATGCTGAAAGACATGTTGAGCTTCATGGGGGAGGCCTAATAGACTGCACGCATAGGAATTGAGGAAAGTATAGATGCTTGTGCTGGTTAGGGCACTAGCCAGACTGGACACATAGGTACTGAGCAAAGTATCGATGCTGGTTCTGGTCAGGGTACTAGCTAGCCCTAAACTTAGGTTAGTACAAGTGGTGAGGTGGAACTCCCGGCGATGCCTTAGACCTTAGCGTGGGGCAGAGAATGCTGAGAGATTAATGAACCCCAAAGGTATGCTTATTTAGATTGTGTTGTTTATGCTTGGTTTATTGGAGAGGAGACAAAGCGTAACGATCCAGTCCAACAAGAGTGGAGTGTGATCAATGAGGTGAGAGGGGCCGGATAAGGAGCGGCCTCCGGCATGATTCTAGGATAGGAAAGGGGGTAAGAATGAACCAATTGCACACCAAATAGGCAGAGAGCGTTCTTGAATTATATGTGTGAGATTGAAATTAACTCATAAAGAGACGTCTTTTGAAGTAATGACAATATTTAGCATTGAAACTCCAATGTTAAGTGTGCTAAGGTGAGAGCACTATTAGAATGGGTGATATCTTGAGAAAGTGCATATTAGTACGTAAAAGGACAAAACCTTGAGGTTGAGTGTAGAATGGTCAAAGCGGCTAATACCTCAAGTGAGTTAAACTAGGGGTGTTATAATATAGTATCCGAGCGGGACCCCTACTAGTGTGTGATTTGATGATGACCCACGTGAAGCTAGTGGGCCTGTGACAACTCGGTCTAATAAGGGTGGGAGTGATTGCCAGGGGGGAGAGGGTAGACAAGAAATATCTCTTGGCATGCTTCTATAATGGTGAAAGGGACAAAAATGAATCGAATTGCGCACTGTGCATGAGGAAAGCATTTGTGGAATTTATATGTGAAACTAGAATTAACTCATAAGAGGTATCTTTTGACATAACGGTAACATTTAGCATTAGAAGTCGATGGTAGGAGATGTTAAGAGTGCTCAGGCGAGGGCACTATCAGGATAGGTGGCAACTTGGAAAAGTGCCTACTAATACGTCAAAAAGCAGAACTGTGAGGCTTAGTATGGGACGGGCCCTAGTTGATAATATCTCATGTGAGTTAATTCAAGCGTGTCACACAAAAAACCCGCTTATATAGTCAGAGATGTTATCGAGAGTAGAGACTCAGCAGTGGTTTTGTGCTATGGAAGAGGAGTTGAAGCCCCTTCAGTTGAGTTAGACATTGAGTTGATAGAACCACCAAAAGGTAGTAGGATACAGGTAAGTCTCTAAAGAGAAGCATAAAAATTTCGATCTAGAGGTGACCACATTTAAAGCACAATTGGTGGAGAATTGGTTTACATAGTGAGAAGGTATTGCCTGCAGTGAAATATTCTCGCCTTGGCTACAGTAGACAATTTATCATTAGAGGATCTAGATGTTAAAACAACATATCTACAAGTGGGTTAGAAGAGCAGATTTGCTTACAACAACCAAAAGGATTTGTCACTTGCCGCTAGACCTGTCAAATGTATAGGTTGAGTGGTCATAAAGGGTTCAACCCAAATTAACCAATTAACCCGTTAATTACCTATTTATTCGTAATGCAAATTTCTCGATCTATACCCAACTCGACCCATATTGCTAAAATACTTCCATATTTAAGCTTCTTATGATTTTAAAAAAAAATTATATTGCTAAAATACTTTAATGCAATACAAATCTAGTGGACAATTTTTATAATTTTTTTAAGAAATTGATTTTTTTAATTTTTTTAATTTTTTCTTTTTTTCTATGTTCGGGGAGGGTCGCCGGCCGACACTCGCTGACCACAGGCAAGAGCCGCGGGTGAGGGTCGTGGCCCTTGCCCAGACTTGTCAAGGCTGTGAAGCCCTCGTTGATAGAGGGCAAGCGCTTCGCGGCCCTCACCAGGTTTAGGTGAGCGCCTTGTGTCCCTCTTTGAGAGGACATTCGGTTTGTTGGGTTATCCCACATCAGTTGTGGAAGGGGCTGGTAGTTAGTTTATAAGTGTGAGGGAAAACCTCTCCCTTTGAGTTAGGGGGTGAAAGAGACAAAAAATCACCCAACACTGATGTCAGAGTCTTGGTTACCAATGAGTCTGGACCCAACAGTCACATCCGATCCGAGGCCCGATGTGTGAGGGGAGAAATTGTTGGGGTTATTTTACATTGGTTGTAAAAGGGGTTGGTGGTCAGTTTATAAGTGTGAGAGAAAGCCTCACTTTTTAAGCTAGTTTTTTAGGTGAGAGAGGCTTAAAACCATCCAACATGATCGCACATGAAAACAAACTTTTAAGTATGATTGTTTGACCTAATTGTCTTATCAAGGCAAGCCTAACTTTTTTTTTTTTTTTGAGGCAAGCCTAACTTGGGAGAGAGTTTTGGAGAGCTGTCAAAGTGAACTCGTAAGGGTTATTCTGACTATTCTCTCGGGGATTGGTAGTTCCTAAAATTAACTTCATTGTTTAAATGGGCCAAAAAAATGGCCACGTTAATTTTATAATTTAAAGTCAGCTATCTCCTCTTGCTGGTTCTCTTTTTTCATTTATCTTTTTTACCTTTACCTTTTCTTTTTGTCTTTCCTGTTCCTCCTCATCCACCATTACTATGCTGTACTCTGACACTTACCAATTCTTTAAGTAATCTATCGATATGAGAAAAATCCGTTTTTGTGAAAACCACCATATTATATTTTGACACTTATCAACACTTTCAGGAATCTATCAATATGAGAAAATTCCACTTTCATGAAAGCGAAATAGTAGAATCGTCCTTATATCTAAAACAACTTAGTAGGAGAAAAATCATACAGTTCCCATAGTTGAAAACTACAATTTTTTTTTGTGTGTGTGAAACTGCTAATATGGCAATACAAACTTTGTATTCCATGAAACCAGTCCCCAATCTCTACAGATTCACAACCATACTACAAACATGGTGGCTAAGTATATTCCCTGAAATTATATGCTAACAAAGGCTCAAGTAAGCGCAGAATCACCCAGAGTCCTAGTTAGAGCAATAGCAAAAGGCAACGGTAAGCCAAAAACGACAAATCCTAAACTAAACTTTAACATAATTTGAAGCACCCTCGGTCGGAAATCAAATTTGCCAACAGTAGCAAAAAGAATGAGTACCCTTAAGCATAAAATTTCACTCGATTGCGAGTCTGCAATTCAATGATAGAGTTGAAGGCAAGGTGAGAGCCTGATGTGAGATGTGAGGAAGGCCGGAGGCGAGGCACGAGGCTAGAGCGAGATGCGAGATGTGAGGGAGGGCTGGAGGCGAGGCGATTGCAAGTCTGCAACAAAGTGACAGAGCTGAAGGTGTGGCCGCATGAGACTCTCACGGTGAGAGTGAGATGAGGCTAGGGTTTCTTCCTTTTGTTTCTATTTTGAGGACCGTGAGACGTGAGTAGGATTGTAGGTTAAATGCCAAAAGGCAGGCGAAAAAAACTCACTTTCACTGAAAGTGAGTTGGAATTTTTTTTAATTTATATTATATATCGGTTCGGTCCGGGTGGCTGATTCCACAATTGGAATCGGATTAATATTCACTAGTTCCAATAAATTGAAACCGGGAATCGGACCAGTCCCTATGGGAGCAGCCAGTTCTTGGTTAGTATGGTCTGGTCACCGGTTTTGGGCAGTCCAGCAGGTTGCCAGTTGCTTTGCACACCCCTAATACAAAGATGGATAAATATATAAAACTACACCCTAACTTTTTTATTAAGAGTGGAGTTGGTTCATCGTATTATAAAAGCCTCCAGAGTTTTGTTTTATACACCTTCATCTGGTTGCCATTAAATGGTTAATCTCATGACACTCTAATTCAAGTTGGTAATTTCTAAGAAAGAGTTAATAAATTTAACAAGTTCATAAACAAAACAAGTTGAAGTTTTTAATTCGATAAAAAAAATTGGTTAATTTCAATAAAAATTGTAACTTTAGTAAGCAATTCAAATGAGACTGGGTAAACTAGTTGGTAATAAATTGGGAGAAAAATTGCTAACTCACACAAAAAAAGATTAGTAAATTCATACAACAATGAATTTCATGTGTTTGTAAGAGTGATAAATAAAAGTTAATAAACAATTGGTTCAATTTAAGGCATTGGTAAGAAAGAGAAAAAAAAGTTAGTCAACATAATAAAAATTGATAATTTGTTAACTGGTTAGTAATTTCGTAAAAGTGACAGTAAGTTAATAACAAATTACAAAAAATAAAGTGCTTGATAACTGTTTTTTTATAAATTTTTGGGATATGTGCACTAGAAGTCCTAAAACTTGTCACAAAAGTGCAATTAAGTCCTAAAACTTGTAAAAAGTGCAATCGAGTCTTAAAACTTGTCAAATTGATTCAATCGAGTCCAAAGTTAACACCGTTTAATTTACTAACGGAAAATGCTGACGTGGCACTGATGTGTCATATTTTATTACTTTTCTTGAGACACGTGGCAATGATGTGTCGTCTAACAAGCGCTACGTTAGCAAAAATAAAAATAAAAATTAAATTTGAAAAAAGTTATAAAAAAAAAGACCCTAACCAGCGACTGTGGCGGTGGCCAAGTCCTTACCGGTGGCTGCCGCCATAGCCATCGGGAAGGGCCTGCGGAGGTTGCCTAGGACTTCCCGAAACCCAGTGACCCTCGCCGGCCCCGGGCGAGGCCCCACCTGTCCCCGGCAACGACATGAAGCCCTCGATCTTGGGGCCGGCGAGGATCGGCGAGGCCTCTCCTAGAGTCACCCACCTTAGGCGAGGCCTTGCTGGCCCACACCGGCTCCAGGCGAGGACCGACAACCCTCGCTCAGATTTAGGGCGAGGGTCGCGCCCTCCCCTAGATTGGGGGCTGAAGGCCCTCGCCGGGGACTCGCTCGGGGTCGGTGAGGGTTGCCGGGCTTCGGGAAGGCCCAGGCGACCTCCGCCGATCCTTCCCGGCGGCTGTAGCGGCGGCCACCGATGAGGGCTTGGCCACTGCCGCAGCTGCTGATTCTAGGTTTTTTTTCCTTTTTTTTGTTTTTGCTTTTTTATAGCTTTTTCTAATTTAATTTACATTTTTTTCAACTTTTTCTGACGTGGCGCTTGTTGGACGCCACGTGTCTCAAGAAAATTAATAAAATAAGACACGTCAGCACTACGTCAACATTTTCCGTTAGTAAATTAGACGGTGTTAATTTTAGGACTCGATTGAACTAATTTGACAAGTTTTAGGACTCCACTGCACCTTTTGTAAGTTTTAGAACTCAATTGCACTTTTGTAACAAGATTTAAGACTTCTAGTGAAGATATCCCTTAATTTTTTTATCATTCATCAAAATTTTTTAAAATCTACTGGCACAAAAGAAAAATCCCTTGTGTTTTAAAGGAAATACTAGAATTGTCCCAAGAAAAAAAGGGACTACATGGTTTTACAAAAAAAATTTAGAGAGGTTCCTGATACCACTTCACACATTACTAGATCCTCTTCTTTGGTCGAATCCACGTTATGTTCTTTTAAACTTGAGAAGATTACGGCTCCGTTCGTTTCACGGAAATACAACGTTTTTGGAAAATATTTTCCAGAAAGTAATTTTTCAGAAAAATGACAATATTTTCTGATGTTCAGCTGAGACTTGAAAATGAATTGAAAAATATTTTCATCGTTTGGTTTGGAAAATCCTCATTACACTCATTTTAATAAATTTTATTTTAAAAAAATAAAATTTTAATTATTTTTTATTTTTGAATTTTAATTTTTTAAATACTTTTTAATATTTATTTATTTTTTTCTTTCTTCTTTTGCCTATCGCTGGCCACAGGTGAGGCGTTGCTCGGCCTCGCCTCACCTTGCTAGATTTGGCAAGGCTCTGGCAAGGCTTGGCTACACCTAGCCGGTCTCGAATGAGGCAAGGCCGAGTAATGCCAGATTTGATGAGGCAAGGCCTCGCTCGAGCTTCGTCGGCCTTGAGTGAGGCCGAGCATCGTCGGATTTAGCGAGAGGTTGAGCCTCGCCTGTGGCTGGTCGCCGACTGTTGGCTGTCGCCGTGGTTGGCGACCGGCCGAGGAAGAAGAAAACAAAAAAGAAAGAAAAAGAAAAAAAAGAAAAGAAAAAAATAAAAATAAAAAATAGTTTTTTTTTAAAAAAAAGGAAAAAATAAAAATAAAAGTAAAATATGTTATGTAAAAGAAAGTAAGGTGAAAGAAGATATGGAAAATGTTTTCTGCTTTCTAAAAATCGGAAAACGTTTTCCTCACTTTTGAAGGTATTTTTTCCATTGGTGGAAAACGTTTTCTATGACTAGTTTATATTTCGTGAAATGAGGGTCGGAAAATTCCGAAAACGTTTTTCTGAAAGTTGTTTTTCACGAAACGAACGGAACTTACATATAAAATGAAAGCGCTTATTATACTTGCGATCAAATATGTACTGCACACTTCCTTTTTGGCACTACGCCAAATTCAAGAGCCTATAAATGAAAAATTCTGAGACCATTGAACCTACCGAAATTCCCAAACAATGAGCCTTCCAATTTTCACCGACCAAAAGTGATTGACAACACCAATTTTACACAGCACCCAAAAACAGTAAAATATGAGCCCATCTGCATGGCTCATGAAAAAGCCATGGTATAAGAAAGGCGATTGATATACCAAAGGCCCAGTTCGCACCGGATGGGAACAAGATGGAGAATCCGAAAGAGGGTGGAAGCAAGGTCTGGACCCAGTGGGTAAACCAACAATGAAAGTTTATAAATTAGAAATAAAAACATTGGCAAAATGATAACCCAAAGTCATATGGTAATTTAATTAAAAAAATTTGGTAAGTTACTCAAATGAACATTGATCTAATCATATAAGAGCAATTAAAATTAAAGGGAAGAATGACACCAAAAGTTATGTACGGCGCTCACTTTCGTACCAAAAGTTCTTGCCGGCTCACTTAAGTGCTAAATTGGAGAAAAAACGATCATTTAAGTGCTAACGGTAAGAAATTCCGGCCAAAATAATTACGTGGCTTTTATAATTGAAAAAATAAGTTGAGTTGGTATATTTGTTAAAAATCCAATCCACATGGATTTTTGCCCCTCTCTGTAGAGTCTCGCTCTCTCTCTCTCTTGCTTTGTGTGTGCTTTTTGGCTCCATTTTTAACTTCCTCAAGATCATCACTGACCCCTCTCTCTCTCTCTCGATCCCTCATTCTGGGTTTGATTCACTTCCAACTCCTTCTTCCTACTTCTGTTCAATAGATTTGACAGTGCGATTGCTTCTTCGCCCTTAATCCCGACGCTTGGGGGTCATCTCTCGGCAATTGCTACGGTTTGTTGTAATTCGTTGGCTTCGAAGAGCTACTAAATCTTACGGAGAGTTGACACAAATGTCAGATTTGGGTGAAAAGGTTAGTGGTCGCACTGATCGAGAATTCGTGAGAGACCATCTCGTCGAGATCTCGAAATTCTTACATTGGTTAGGTGGCTGAAATCGCTCGATTTGGTTCGCTATTGTTGCAGGGATTGACAGATTGTTCCGACGGAGCTTCGATGGAGGGAAGACGATATGCGCCGATTAGCTCCTGCCCTTTTCGCTTCTCGTTTAGGGATTTTTTGAATTTTATTGCTTTGCGGTGAAGTAATAATCTTCGGGGATCTGTGGGTTTTGGTGTAGAGGTGGAAGAGCCATCATCATCCATCTTCGAAGACGATCATGGATCGATGGTATTTGGTGCAGAGGCGGAAGAGCCATTGTCTGTCGTTGAAGACGATTGTGATCTCCGCGATGATCACGCCGTTCCTCAGTTCTCGGCGATTACTGAATTCGACTCTCCTCTAGGTACTGTCTTCTCAGTTTCTCCGTATAATGTGTTTTTTTTTTCTACTAATTTGTCTGCAATTCTGAGGTTGCTCCAATGCGTGTTTCTATCTTCATCTCTTTCATAAACCAGTGTCTCTTATTGCTTTCGAAGAAGAAAATTTATGCCTTTGAAATTTTTTTGAATTATATTAGAATTTTATTTCACAATTAAGGAAGCTTTATAAGCAATTTCTTTTTTGAGCTCTTTAACCTTTCTGTTGATATGGAGTTTCATTGGCCTATGACAGGCTTTTGATCTGTCATGTTATTGTTAGTTCTATACTTATAACTGAGGCCTCCGTTAGTTTTGGCCTAAAAGGGGGTTAAAATGCCCTCTGGAGTTGTCTTTGGTAATGATTCCATCCAGAAGTGGAGGTAATACTTTGTTTAATCCCTTTTAATATTGTAGATTTGGGATTTTGTGGGAGATTTGCAGAAGAAAAGATCATGAGGAAGGTCAACATGGAGGGAAAATGCATTCAAAAAGTTTCATCTCAAGACTTGAATGATTCTGACACTAGTGAAGCTCCCCTTGAGGTTGAGTTTGTCAATATGATCGAGAATGATAAGCCAGCAAAGATTACTTCATTGCTAGATAGTTGTTTTGATTTTGACGCAGCTTGTGATCGATTTGTGCTTTGGTCCTATAGTCTCTGTGCAATGCGTGCGGGATCATGAGCAGGAAGAAGAGGCGGGCCATGATTGGCCTGAACAAGATCGGAATGGAGATTAAGAAGGCGAAGCACAGCAACAACAACAACGGCGATTCCTTGAAGCGGAGGGTCTTGGCCTGAGGAAGAGAAGTGTTGATGCAAAGACTGATGGGAAGCCAACCCCTGGATGTTGAGTTGAATTTTTTGTTTGGTGGGAAGCCAATCCCTGGATGTTGGGATGTTCTAATTGACCAAATGTAAAGACTGAATTTAATGTCGATGGACTTTATTTTGTCTATGCTTTTGTCATTTCTATATATTGCTTTTGGCTGTGTTGGTGTGCTAGTTTTGTTGGTTGTGCTTGCACCAACTATTGTATATGCTGGTGCAAGCACAAGATGCACCAACTATGTGTTGTTGATGCAAGGTTAGTACTGGTGCATCTTGTGGTTACACTAGCTATGTGCTGGTGGCATCAAAAATTAGTATTTAGAACAACAATGTCGTCACCAATCATCAACTAATAACTTAGATTTTGAGTGATTTACGAATAGGTTTCGTGGACATAAATTGGTCTCACACTTATCCAAAACAAGGCAGAAAAGAGAGGAATGAAATTACCTTGTCGAGGAGGGGTTCTTAGTTGCGCTTATTGGTCAAGCTACACGAGGTGGTGCAGCTAGTTGCTACTGGTTTGTGCTTGCATCAACACGCGTTTGTGCAATTGATGCAAAGCACAAAACTGCACTAGTGCTTGTTTGGGCTGGTGCTTGGCATCGAAATGATCACTTTTTAACAATGATTGGCACTGAAGTGATTACTTTTTAACAATGACTGGCACTGAAGTTATCACTTTTAAAAAAATTGATACTCAAACGATCACTATTTACAACTTTTAAATGACATCGTTTAGGGGCTATATGCTAACTGGACATGCCGGCGAGCCACTTAGGATTGAGAAATTAATAAAATATAGCCACGTCGGATTTCCAGCAATCTAGATCAGAGTTGGCACTTAAGTGATCTGAAAAAAAAAATTTGATACTAAAGTGAGTGCTGTACACAACTTTTGGCACTTTTACTGTCCTTCTTCCAAATTTAAGTCGTTGATCGGAACGGAAAATAAAGATTAACAAAAAAAGAAGAAAAATTGATAATATATAAGCTATAAAAAAGAATTAGTATTTCATAAAACTGTTGGTAAGTCAACGATAGATTATTTGGAAATTAGGTGACCAGTTTAACCGGTAGCTAGACACACGCACCCTTAGATCTGAGGTGCGACCTCAATTTTGAGGCCATTGCAACCCTAATTGGAGGTCGATATGAGGTCTTGACGGCCTCGAATATTAAACAACGCACATCTACCTTTATGTGGAGAGAGAGAGAGAGAGAGAGAGAGAGAGAGAGAGAGAGAGAGAGAGAGAGAGAGAGAGAGAGAGAGAGAGAGAGAGAGAGAGAGAGAGAGAGAGAGGGGCTAATTAAAAAAAAAGCACAAACTTTACCTTGAGTGACAATTTTGGCCCGAATTTTTTTTCGTCTCAATAAAAAAAAATCAATATTTACTCGAGTCCCAAATCTGGCTCCCGTAATGTGAAATTTTCAAATTGTTCGGGCCAGATTTGGGATTTAAGTAAAAGTCGATGATTTTTAATGAGATAAAAAAAGTTCGGACCATAATTGTCACTTAAGGTAAAGTTGGTATTTTTATTTGGAATTAGGCGGAGAGAGAGAGTTATTCGGCTGGTAGAAGCATCAATGATTGGTGGCGGAAGAGTTTGGTGTGTCGTGGTGGTGGTGGTCAAGTAGTGACGGCGGTTCGTTCTCGTTTGATTGATGTGCGGTCAAGAGTTTTTCATAAGTGGAGAGAGAGGGATATGACATTGTAGCCACATGTATGTGGCTAATCTAAAGGCAAGTTAACGAAAATCATGTCAACTTTAGTTAAGGGCGTTAGATTTATTTATGAATGGACATAGAGCATATTTTCGAATGATGGACTAGAATGAACAAATAAATAATTCACAAGCTACATTGAATATTGAGATAAATTTGGAAGACTACTGGTGTCATTACCATTTTCTCTTTCATTAGTTCTCTTAACTCTTTTGGGGTGTAATTGAGGAAACATTTGAGAGTTGTGTGATTCAACTAATTGTAATCTTTACATTTTATTTACAGTGGACAACACGTTGATCTCTTTTTGTGGAGTGGCATACTGTCAAACCACACAAATCTCATGTTGCTTTACTTTTTCAATCTTAATTTCTCGATTGTATTGTTTGCATTTGTCAGGCTTCCTTGGTTTCCGTGACTATATTGAAGTGCAGTATTAGGATCTGTCAATCAATATCCAATAATCAATAAAATGTCATACAAACATAAAACTATGCAGGGGAAGCAATTTTCTCGAAAGTTTTTCTCATATGTACTTAATTATTTCTCGACAACACTAAAAACAGGAATATGGATTTCTTTCCTTTAAGAAGGAGATAATGAGTGTAGTTGGCTCACAGGGGAGAAGAATGGCGAGTGCACATGTGCAGTGTGAAAATCTGGATGTCTGATGTTTGGTTGATTACTTGATATGCCTAGTTGGCCCATTACTCAATAGTTTAGGTTTTTTAAGCGAAGGTTGCCCAATTAGGTCTATTGTAGCTCAAGTTTTGGGCTTCCTCTTGGATCTACCCATAATGGAAGCGTTGGACTTCTATTAAACGTCTCCAAACAAAAATGAGGTAGAGTTGGTTTTCGGACACGCAATATAAATTCAACATCTTCATATGAAGATATCACCAATATGGAGCCTAGGTATGAGCCCATTAGTATATTTAGTTGAATTCACATTCACTTAAAGACTTAAATCAATGAGTCATAAATCAATTATGATATAGTAACTGTTTTATATTATACCAATCATCCGATGCTGGACTTTTTCTATTGCATTTTTATATGCTAGGATGCTTAAGTGACAAAAAGAGCTTCACCAATATGGTTCATTTTGGTGTACCCGTCAAGATTAAGGTTAGCCTAAAGGAGCTAGGATTAATCTCGGTCTTCGCTTTTGATATGGTTTATACGTGGAATGGCCCGTAGAAAAGGGCTTGTAAAATATGTTTAAGTAAAATGGCAATAGTGTGTTTTGTCTGTTGTGCCTTCCTTGATTTCTAGCTATTATTTGTTTGGGAATTTGTTTATACACGTTTCCGCATATGCTTATTAATAAGATAAAAGAAACGGGACGGCGACGAACTTGGGACGTCGCATTAATAACCCCGAGGTGAGGTAAGGACGTCACAATTGCTTTCATGGAAAACAAAGACAGAGTCTACTGTATCCTTGTCATTAGCCGAAGCTGAGTATCGAGCCATGGCTAAAACTATTTGCGAAATAGTATAGATACGAGGCTTACTTTTGGATCTTGGGGTACAAGTTAAAGGACCAACCCTACTATTCTGTGATAACGATGCAGCGCTCAACCTTGCAGCAAATCCCATAGTGCGTGAAAGAACGAAGCATATAGAAGTTGATTGCCACTTCACTCGAGACAAGATCCAAGAAGGGATAATCGAGACAAGAGGAATTGGAATCACAGAATAGCCTGCGGATATCTTTACCAAGCCACTATGTCAAAGACAACACGCATACCTATCGAGCAAGCTGAGCGTCTTAGACATATATAAGCCGCCAGCTTGAGGGGGAGTGTTGGAAGATATGCCTGAAGATGTGGCAAATCTATCCAGAATGTAATCGATACGATAAATCAATCCGAAATTGTAATTGATTGATAAATCAATCTAGGATTAGACTTGATTTCATCTGATTTGCCTAGGAGAGATTTTCCTTTTATTATTCACATTTTGTACTATATATTGAACATTGTACATGGAGAATAGATAAGCTGAAATACACAGAATACAAAATTTCTTTCTTCAATTCTTCGATTTGTATCATGTTCGAGAATCCACCGCTCAATTGACCTCGCTTGGGTGTCCACGCCATGTCCATGTTGCAATAGCTTCTCTCCTCCCTTCTCTGTTCTTATTTCCAAATTTCTATCGTATAGATTTTGAAAATTATCTTGGTTTATTTCATAAAGTTCCATTTTTAAACCATGTGAATGCTAACGACCGTGGCAAGTAACAATAATTTAACAGTCATGTTTGCTTTTTCGTTTACTATTTTAACGGAAGGAGCAATACAAACAAAAGAATATATAGTTCCAAGGCCCGATTGGCCAAAAAGTATTCATGACTAAATTAAACAAATTGAGATAGTTTCTAGAGTGACTTTTACTTTTTATTTCTTCTTTTTTTTGTCAAAACACTAACCATAATATTAGCTTGCAGCGCCCATACTATAATTATATTTTAAAACGCCTGAAACTTTTACAATATACAAATATTGGCATTGTAGAATCATATTTAGTGTTTTTTTTTTTCATAATTATTGAGAATTTGAATGATATCTTAGAGCTTGGGGTAAGGTAAAAACTTAAAAAGGTTGTTTTTCACTTTTTATAAGTCTAAACCAAACGGTTTGCAAAAAGTAGGAGAACTACTGGTGCTTCTATTTCTTACTTTTTTTAAGTTTAGCTATAAATGAGCGGTACTATTAATATTTCTTTTTTGGGTCATATTAGCGTAAGAAGTATTTAGAAATAGTGGTTGTGCATATTGCAAGCATTACTTCATATTAAAAATTGTAACAATTCCTTATTTGATTACTGGGCACTTGTTAACATAAAGTCATATTTTCTTCCATCTCTAACCGTTTCTCTAATTGGTGAGCCACAAGTTATAGATAACACATACAAGCTTGATTAAATATAAATATGGATGACGTCCTTATTGGAAACTCAACAATCAAGAGATCAATTGAGGGAAGTTTTCCTCCGTCGGATGGAGGAAAACATGACCCTTTTAACAAAATCCTTCAAATTAACATTTTGTTCTCTTGATGGACATTGCATTTGATTGAATTTTTCGATTGGACCTATCACATGATGACAAGAGTAACTTCCTTTTCCGATGTGAGGTAGTCGAGGTTGGTAAATCTTGTTGGGATTTTGGCACAAAATACCATAGAATTGAATGAGAAGTGTGTGGTTGAAAGTGTCCCACATAGGGTGAAGAGAGATGGGAGATGGGTTCAAATAGTTGAGCCTCACAA